CTCTTGCCGCCATGCCAAAATTCCTGTCACTCAGCCCACCCCCCTCCCCTGCCTATTCACTGGTACATAGAAGACACTGTCTCGGTAAAGTGAAGAAAAACCCCAACACTGTCTCAACAGCTTTTAATTGGTTCACTTCTCCTTATGTCATTTCCCAAAGGTGCAATGTGACTTTGAAAGCTTAACGAGTAAATGAGGGTTTGGTTTTGACCTACTTAGGGCCCAGGCTACAGTTTTGTTTCCCCGGGCAGCTCGCGAGCTCCTTGCCTCTTGGAAACTTCAGAGCCGAAATGCTGAGTACCATATATGTCCACTTTAAATCTCAGAAATGTCCATCATTCCCACTTTGCTTAAGGTGCTGAAGTAAGAGCAATCAAAGTGTATGTGTGTGTGTGTTCATAGTGTGTCCACTCAACATACATATAGTCTTTAGTGTGCTTGTTCATCCAGCACTAGTGCAAATTCATTTTAGCTGGTCTGTTTCTTTCTTTCATTCAGGACAGTCCATCAGTCCATCACCGTTTCTCTCATCCCTCGTCACTTGGACAAAGGATACAGTATGTTGCCATAGTTTCATTCGTGCTGTGATGCCCTTCAGAGCACTAGGTTCAACACACTCATCTGTCAGTGTGTGAGATGTCTTTCTTGCATTTTCGCTTGTTAGAGTTCTCCAGCTCTCTCCTCACTGTCGTTCTCTGTGGCACTGCAACTGTTAATAACAGTGTTGTGACATCAATTTCTGTCCATCTGTCCAATGGTGGGCCTGGTCCCTTTTCAGAGTGGTCCCACCTACATGAAGGCAAGATACTATCAACAAAACAATCCATATATAGTCGCTACAGAACGTTTTCAGACCCTTTCAAGTTTTCCACATTTTGTTATGTATCAGACTCATCTTAAAATGGATTCAGTTCATTTTTTCCCATCAGTCTACACACAATATTCCACAATGATAAAGTGAAAACAGGTTTTTGTAAATGTATTAAAAATAAAAGACTCAAATATCCCATTTACATAAGTATTCAGACCCTTCACTTAGTACTTAGTTAAAGCACCTTTGGCAGCAACGACGGTCTCAAGTCTTCTTAAGAATGAAGCTTGAGACGTTTCTTTTGGAATTTTCTTCTATTCTTCTTGGAAGAATCATACAAGGTCAGCCAGGTTGGATGGAGAGAGTTGGTGCACAGCCAATTTCTGGTCTCTCCAGGGGTTCAGGTCTGGACGCCCCTGGCCTACTCCGTGACTTTTACAGAGTTTTCTTGAAGCCACTCCTGTGTTTTCTTGGCGGTTTGCTCTGCGTCGTTGTCTAAACCTTCACCCCAGTCTGAGATCCTGAGCATCTGGAGGAGGTTTGCATTCAGAATTGCTCCATATTTTTCTCCATCCATCCTTCATTCTATCCTGACTAGTCTCCCAGTCCCACATGCAGAAAAACCTCCCCACAGGCCAATGCTGCCACCACCGTGTTTGACTGCAGGGATGGTATTAAAGAGGTGATGTTCAGTGCCTGGTTTTCTCCACACACACTGTTGGGAATTGTGGCCAAATAGTTCAGTCTTGTGTTTCATCTGACCAGAGGATTTTGCTTCTGAGGATCTGAGAGTCCTTTGGGTGCTTTTTGGCAAACTCCCAGTGAGGGATGGCTTCTGTTTGGCCACTCTACCATAGAGGCCCGATTGGTGGCATGCTGCACTGATGGTTGTCCTTCTCTAAAGTTCTTTCATCTACAGAGAGGAACTCTGGGTCTCGTTCATGGTGACCCTTGGGTTTTTGGTTACTGGTCTGACCAAGGCCCTTTGTCCCTGATTAGTCAGTCTGGCTGGGAGGCCAGATCTATGAAGACTGTTGGTGGTTCCAAATCTCTTCCATTTGAGAATGATGGAGGCTACTTTCAATGCTATAGAGATGTTCTTGTATCCTACCCCAGATCTGTATTTGGACACAGTCCTGTCTCGCAGGTCTGCCGACAGTTCTCTCGACATCGTGGCTTTGTATTCACTCTGACATACACCATCAACTGTGAGACCTTATATAGACAGGTCTGTGTCTTTCCTTTTATATATTATTATTATGAATTATATTCATTGCATTGAATTAGGTACATGTGGACACTAATCAAGCTGTAGAAGCATCTCAATGACCACTGATAGGAGCAGGACGCACCAGAGCTCAATTACAAGTGTCATAACAAAGGGTCTGAATACTTATGTAAATGGGATATTTCAGTGTTTTGCTTTTAATAAATTGTCAGAACACTCAAAAAGCCTGTTTTCACTTTATCATTGTGGAGTATTGTGTAGACTGATGAGAAAAAATATGATGTGAATCCATTTTAAGATGAGTCTACTACTACTCTACTTTTGGCTGTTCCTGTTAGAGGTCGCCACAGTGAATCTGATTCACATGAGTAAATTTGGCATGTTGTTTTTTGTTTGTTTTTTTACACCGGATGCCCTCCCTGACACAACCCTCTCTATTTAACCGGGCTTGGAACTGGCACAGAAGTCACTGGCGTGAAACCCCTCTGGTTAGATACACAATCACTCCTGGGGGCAATTTAGAGTCTCCAATCAACCTAAGCTGCATGTCCTTGGACTGTGGACGCAGGCACGGGGAGAACATGCAAACTCCACACAGAAAGGCTCGAACCCGGAACCCTCTTGCTATGAGGCAACAGCGCTAACCACAGCGCCACTACACCACCCTATCGTTTTAATATGAGTCTGACACAACAAAAATGTAGGAAACTTGAAAGGGTCTGATTACTTTCTGTACTGACTGTACCTCACTGAATTCCTCCCATTTCTGTATCTGATGCTCTCCTTACCTCTCTCTGTTAGCTTATGAATGCTGCAGGGTCAAAAGTAAATCATTCAGCCGTTTCCTCCTCTGTTCTCTGCTGCAGACCTCTTCTTCTCCTTGGTTTTCTTCTTCTCCCTCCTCCTCTTGTCTGTTCTGGGTTTTGGTGGGCTGTGGTCAACAAGTATGCACAACTTACTGCAAAAGCAGATTTTTTTTTATCCTTGTGGAAATTTGCATTCAAAAAACAAAAATGCCTTTTCCGTGGGCTGTGCTGCATTTGTTAACTCACACAGGGGCTGGCAGTGAGCAAGCTGGAGGTGTCCTGACTTGGAGGGTGGGGGTCACTGCTGATAAGAGTCACCTCCACCCCCACTGGCTGATCTGAGGGTCAGAGGTCAAACAGTATTCTCTATTAGTGAAGGCATTGCAGGAGGAGATTAAAACAGCACATCGTTTTTCTTACAGATATATCTTATGTAAGTGTACTTATTTCCCCTTGATTCCTATCTGCAATCAGTCAGGCAGCCTTTGATGGAAAGTGTGTGGTTTCACTGCTAATGGGGAAAGTTGATGCCTGTTGGGGTCTTGGACACCAACAGTGGATGACAGAAATGGAGAAATATTTCTGCAGGCTAAAATTCTGTGGTTGGAAAACCACTTACTTTGTGATGCTGAGTATGATATTGAGAGACAAGCCAACTATGACGACAACAGGCGTGTAAGCAGAGCACACACACACACACACATACATGCACACATAAAACGAAAGACACAAAAAGGACACAAAAGGAAATCTATAGAAATGTGGCGCAAAAATAAAAACCCATGGAGTTCAACCACATACACGTATGCATACACCTACAGAAACAAAAACTAACACACACACTTGCTTCATGGACCTGACTTGATGTGGCTGTCGTCCCCATTGGTGCTATCACAGGACAGACGTCGCGAGCCTCTCTCCTCCCCTTCTGCATCTCTCTCTCTCTCCCTCTCTATCCTCAGTCGGATCTGTCTGTCTCTCACAAGCTCCCAGTTCCTCACAAGGAACACATGGTGTTTCACCACAAAGCTCCTGGCCCGGCACACAGGGAGAAACATTAGTCGTCAACAAAGACATTATTGCAGTAACAGTGCATCGAGGTGTTTATCCTGAAATGTGAAATGCTGCAGTGTTTCCATACCTCTCATTGCTGGTCAAAGGCTCCATGTCAAGGTGAGGGAACAGGCTGGTGATGTCACTAGAGCCTTCGTCCTGTACAATAAAAAGCAAATGGAGGTATTCATGTATTGTAAGTTTTAGAAAAGAAACCACATTCTTTACTAGAATAAAACAACCTCAAGCTACATGAACTCACCACTGTTTGGTGAGAGGATGCAGTCCTTTCCTTCAGCCGGCCTGAGTGAAAAAGAGAAAGGGAAACAGAGTAAGAGTCTATATGTATTATTTTGGACCCCACATCTGAACTGGGGCGGCTGTGGCTCAAGAGGTAGAGCGGCCATCCCCCAACTGGAAGGTCAGTGGCTCAGTTCCCATTCTTCCCAGTCCACATGTCGAAGTCTCCCCGGGCAAGACACTGAACCCCAAGTTGCTCCAGATGGCCAGAGCAGCACCTTTCAGGGACAGTGCTGCCATCGGTGTGTGTGTGTGTGTGTGTGTGTGAGAGAGAGAGATTTGGCACTGCAGATGGCTGCCTCAGTTCTGTACCGGAGATAAATTCATTGTGTGTGTAACATACTTGGCCAATAAAAGTGATTATCATTATCAAACTTGGTGATAACACATCTAATACTGGGAACTCACAGTAGTGTCGCTTCCTCTTCAGGGGTACAGCAGGCTGCCTGTGAAGCTGAAACAAACATGAGAATGACTAACATTACTCTTATCTCTATCTTGATTTTCTTACTTCCTGATTCTGTGTTATGGGTCATTACTGTACCTGGTTGTGCTGCCACAGCCACATAACATCATAGGGTAATTGGAAATGAATCCGCTTCAGCCTCAGATACTTCCCTGGAGGACACAAAAGATTTTAGATAGAGAACCACAGCTTATACAAACTACAAACTACTACTGTTTGCATACTCTCACCAACGTGTATGGGAGCAGGTAAAAGGGTGTAGTCATGCTCCCCTGGTGTGTATTCCATACTCTGTCTGCAAGTCTGATGGGCTTGTGAGGGAGGCCTAGGAAAGACACAGGATGAATAAAAAAAACATTAAACCTGATGACAAGAAATATTCTAATAATTTGTTTACAAAATCTCTCAACTCACTCTGTGGTTTTGTAATCATCAGAGTAAAGACCTGCCCTCAGAAATGTCTTCCTGGGAGGACCATCGGCTCTCTCTTCTCTTTGGGTGGCTACAGGTTGGGACGGAGCCTGGTCCACATCTGACTGGCTAAAACATTCAGGGGCTGTATCACACTCAGGTATACCAGTGGTAACACTAAAAGGAAAGCATGAAGAGAGAGATAGAATGATAGAGAAGAAAAAGAGAAAGAAAGAAAAGGCACTGGTTTAGCACACAGTGCTGAAAACAATGAGTTAATATAATAGTAGTGAGTGGTTGTATTGAATTTTCTAGTCAACCAGCTCAGGCGCTTTTCAATGCAGCTGTGAGTGTTTACCTCTGATGATGTGGAGAGTCGCCGTGTTTTCTCTTCCGCCCTCTCTTTCTTCTGGCCTGCAGCTCCAGCTCTGTCACCTGCTGCACCGTGTCACCTCCTCGATCTCTCCCCAGCTCTCTTTCTTCCTTTCTTCCTCCCACCAATCTCTCGTCTCTGTTGTGGCTGTGCCCCGGCAAGAGGTCAGGTGATGACTTGGAGGGAGCTGAGAAAGAGCATGTGGGGGAGGGTACCACAGAGGGCAGTGGGTGCTTCCTGGGCCGTCCTGGCCTTCGTTTGTTTTTCACCTCTACATTGTCCAGTGTTGGCACACTTTTCTGCTGGCCCCGACTTCTTGAGTCACCTTGTAAACCTGCAGTCATTGAAATGAAAAGAGGGAGGGAGGGGGTGAGGTGAGGGGGGAGGTGTGGGTGAATGTAAGTGGCAGAGAGGAAATGAGACAGATGTGGATCAGTGATTGAGCCAGCAGGAGGTGTGAGGTGAGGCCAGTCTGGGCTGAGTCATGCGGATGGGCCACAGATTAGGTGAGTCACAACATTTCCTATGACCAGATCACTTCTGGGAAATGCATTAAGAAGTGATTTATGTATACACACACAGCAATAAAACCACAAGAATGGACACAAACACTGTGCTGCATGCGCACGTATGTACTCCTGCACACAGAGAAAAAAAGCCTGTGCTGGTGTGCTGTATTGCAAAACACATGTCCTTAGTTAGATGATGAACTGGTGTTGAATTTATTCAGCTTCTTTCTAAAACAACATTTTCCTCTCACATGCTTTCTTTGCACCGTCCTGACCTCCGTGCTATTCCTTCATCAATCACTCCTGAGATCATCTATCTTTCTGTTCCATTTTCCT